TTGAAAAGGCATGGATGTAACTCCATTCCTCTATCACCAAAGGCAACATTTATATGGAACTCAAATGGAAAAAGAAATCTGATCTGAAAGTTTTTCCAGATGGAATACATATGTATGAAAGCTGTTACTGCAAAACAGTTAGCTTTGCTATCATTTGTGAGCTGGTCGTGGGCTGCGACAATCACACTGCTGACTGTTTGGTCAGCGAGTGCGAGTTTTCCTGTTCCGCGAGACCTTGGGGAGCGCTCTCAGAATCCTGTGCAATCATCTGACTCCTGACGGGAAAACACTGATTGGTATTCATTTGCATCTTTCCCTTTTGAGGTCAAAGCAGACTGAAACACTTCCTTCTTCCCTCAGATTTTTTTTTTTCCACTTTACCCCATCCCCCAAGTGATTATAGCATTTGCAAATATGAGGGACTAGTTTGGAAAATTAAGGAGCATGGCCCTGTTACAGGCTCCCGTGCCTGAGGAGCCCAACTGGGGAACTTAACGGCTTCCAGTGAAAATCTGGACGTGTTGATCAGTTGTGGCTGCAGAATGTGGATCCCCTCGATGGGCTGAAACTGGAAGAAATGTTCCTCCTTGTGTGCAACTGTTGCTAAGCAATTGAAGGACAAGCAACTTTTACAGTGAACTCAAGTTCATTAGAGCTGTCTAATTATACTCTGGAGCATTTGGAGCTATGTAGCCATGCCTAGATTTTTTTTAAAAAATAACATGCATTTTCCATGAACTTTTTGATGATGTTTCTTATGCCTGGTTACCAAAAATTTTTGCACTAAAATAAACTTATCTTAATTTTATTTTCTATGAACTTATGGAAATCCCTTCATTTATAGATTTGATTTGAAGTGGCATTGAAAAATAAGTAACGCGGCCAGCGCCGCGGCTCACTGGGCTAATCCTCCACCTTGCGGCGCCGGCACACCGGGTTCTAGTCCCGGTTGGGGCGCCGGATTCTGTCCCGGTTGCCCCTCTTCCAGGCCAGCTCTCTGCTGTGGCCAGGGTGTGCAGTGGAGGATGGCCCGGGTGCTTGGGCTCTGCACCGGCATGGGAGACCAGGATGGGTGCCTGGCTCCTGCCATCAGATCAGCGAGGTGCGCCGGCCGCGGCGGCCATTGGAGGGTGAACCAACGGCAAAGGAAGACCTTTCTCTCTGTCTCTCTCTCTCACTGTCCACTCTGCCTATCAAAAAAAAAAAAAAAAAAGTAACGATAAACTCATGAGAAAAATGTAAAATAGTACATGTGATTATTTTTTATGACCTTATTAACACTGTAGGGAATTTAAAAAATTGAGGTTATTGCATTTATAAACTCAAATCTGTGTTTTATTTCTAATTATGGCTTTATTTTTTGTTTAGAATGACTTTCATTAATCCTTTTTACACCTTGAAGAGTTTCCTTATGATCAACATAGAGTTTATGTTTGAAACAAAAAAATCACTGAGTTTGAAACTCTTGGTATAGTATTTAGCTGTTCAGGCAGTAGGACTCTCACAAACTAAACTGGAACCATGAGAACAACTGGTGGGCAGCACATACGTCCTTCAGGGCCATTCTGCAACTCAAGAGCAGGAAGAGAAGCCGCAGAAACCCACAGGGAAGGTGTAGGATCGGTTGGTTGTTCTTTGCATAGCATTCTCCTTTGTTAGCCAAGTCAGAACTAAGGAAACCTGACCGTAGGCGCTGCCCCATGGAACAACTCTGAAGACACACCTATGGATCCTTGCAAATTGGACATAACGGTGTCAAGTTTTCTTTTTATTAGAAAAGCTTAATCAATTTCTCTTCTTACATGATTTCAAATAGGTGAAGTTTTTTGGATATTTATCCCTTTGACATCAACCTTTGAATTACAGACAGGGCTCAGCCAAAGAAAGCCAAGTATCAGCTTTTCCACTGTAGGATGAATTCCTTAAGATACCTGAATGGCCAAAAGAATTACAATAAGTAGGGCAGCACTTATTTGATTTAAAAAAAGTTTGAGGACCTTACTACCAGAAGTATCTGATGGGAACCTGGTATATTTAGAGAGATAACTACATTACCAGTCTGTGAGGAATCCAGAGGAGATGGAATAGAATGAGAGACAAAACATTAGCAGCCTGGATAATTCGGTTAACTGAAGACTTGGCAGTGAGGTGATGTGGTAGATAAGAATGCCCCACACTGATGGCGGGGTGTTTTCCAGGAGCAATTTGCAGAGCTGTTTCGTGTCTCTCAAGTTAAAAGATAACGTAAGACACAAACACACACACACACACACACAACAACTATGCATAAAAAAGGATATAATTTTGGCTGCTCTGGGAATAGTAAAAAAATTAAGTAGTAAAGTGATGAGAAGAAAACAATCATTAAAAGGACCTTGGATTGGAAGAAAAACTGAGATATTTGGAGCAGCTTGTGTTATTATTTTTATCTTTCATTCTGGAAACTGTTTTGAACCAGGCAAGGAGACTGTCTTCACAGAGGAACAATTTGTTTAAAAGTTTGCTATTTTGGTCTTCCTGTGTTTATCAAGTGAATTACAGCTAAACCACTAATCCAAAATGCTCCATTCCTTGTTGTCAAATAAAAGAAATCTGAACTGGCTCAAAATACTAGTATCACATAGCTCCGCCAACTCCCTTGCTGAGGTTTCCCAGAGCACTCCGCTGGGATTAAAGACCACAGAAGAAAAATCCCCCCTCACACAGCACGCGATGTCTTTGATCCACAAGGCCACTGAGGCTTCATTTCTGATTCTTCCTTCTGCCTAGGTTAGTGCCTTAAGAACATGGATTTCTGTTTCATTGGTTTAATGAATGACCTAATGTGCAACAAGACCCAAAGTCAGAAAAATGAAGGTGCTGGAATGAGAAATAAGGAAATCTGTGTTCTAGGATCAGTTCTTTTGCTCTTTCAATTCAAAAAGGGTGTGTTCAGTTCCTTGTCCTACACAAAGGATTGTGGGAGATAACAAGGTGCAAGTGAACAGGGCTGCTGCTCTAAAGGCAATGTGGGGTGGGCATGCATGCCCTAATGTCCTTCCGAAAGCACAGGTTCTAGCTAGCAGAGAAGCAAAAGTGCCAATTTACAAATGACCATTTTGTATACATTTTAATTTCCAAAGCAATTTGTCCCAGAGTCTGCCTGTATTATCTGTATTTATTCCATCACTAGTGGCTGTACATTCTCAAGATAGGAAGCCAGGCCTCCTCGAAACTTCCACATGCTAACAGCCACAGCTAAGGTAGGAGGCCTGATTGAAACAGTAATTACAGACACAGAATGCTAATTAATTGAGAAAGTTAAAGGGCCTTTCTATTTAGCTATGCTGTGTTATGTACTGAGTACAGAGGGATGTATTGACTCTGTGGGATGAAATTTTGCGAACTGTGGCTTGACCCCTGAGTTTTAGCTTTGAACTGCCCAGTAAAGGTAACGAAAATGGATCTGCAAATACTGTGAAAACATCAAGTAAAATCCTGTGACAAAAGCATTACCATTGAACTTTGCTTCATAATCACAGAGACCATGCAGCCCGGTTTATCTACGCTATTCCCACACAAGTATCGATAGCACCCCATTTCATACTTGGGAGTATTTTGGTTTGGAGATAAACTGTGAGGTCACCTTAGTCACAGCCAATGATGACACAGCATACAACAAAGATTGCAGTAACTAAGGGCGTGGATAAGGTTGGTTACATTTTCCCTGACCAAATGTCAAGGTTCTTTGGTTCTCAGCCCTGCTCACTGCCATAAAGGTGGTTAACAATGGATGCTAGTAGGTTTAAGAGGTGTTTTTTTTTTTTTTTCTTCTTTAAAGGACAACTACTCTTCCAGGAATTTTGTCATTATTTTGCCTACTTTTCTGGTCTGCCAATCACTCTGACTCAACAACCAGCCAACCACCGTGTGTCCGAGAGCCGTGCTGCGTGGCTGGAGTTCTCCAGTCCTATGGACAGGCTTCAGGGGAGGCGGGTCTGAAGTTGTTTTGCTTCCTTAATGTTTCTTCTGTGTGCTTACTCCAGCTCCTCTCGCTACAGAACAGGTGCATATGCTTGCCGAGGGCACCTTCCCCCCATCCTAACTCAAGCAATGCCACTGTGCACTGGCTGGCACACGAAGAGACCTTCACAGCCACGCCCTGACTCTGCGCTTCAGTGGGTAGGAGGAGGCAGGGGTAGGAAGCTCCATATAATTTCTAACAGGTTCTGCCCTCAAGGGGTTAACAGCCCCTGAGGGCAAGGTGCAAATCAATCTCACTTGAAAGATTCACTACTGGGAGGGGGCATGCAGGAGGGCTTGAGCGTGGAGAGCACGTTGTTCGAATTGGGGTTCACTCTGGGTGCAGATCCAGTCCCAGGAACGTGGAGCACCCCCACAGGTCTGAAACTGCGCACACTGCTGCTGTCTGGAGTTTTTTTTTTTTTTTAAGTTTTTTTGGCTGGCAAACAACTTTCCCCTCAAGGTTACTGACTAATCCAAATGAGCATTAGCTCACTTTGAAAATATGAATATTATAATACGGCAAAAGCTATCGACCTATTGTGATTCGTTTTAATGGCGAAGTGGAAATATCACTGCGGTCGCACTTGAAAGAGAAGCGAGTTACATCTCCACCATTTCATCCAAAATACAAAGAAAATGAAATCATTCCACTTTAAGAAACTTAACATGAGTACGGGACCCGTGGTTGGGCGGAATTGTGACAGAAAGCACTTAGTAAAGGGAACAGGACTCGCCCAGCCGCCTTCTGTAGGGTGTAGGGTCGCTCACCCCGAGCCGCGCCGCCAGTGGGACCCAGGCCCTCGCGGCTCAGCGGGACGCACGCCCCCTCCCCAGCCCGCCCCGGCGGCGCCCCGGAGCGCGCGGGACTGGCTGGGCGAGGGGAAGTAACCGGACTCCTCCCCTCCCACGGGCTCCCCGGGACTCGCGGCCCCGCCCCGCCTTTTATCCGGTGAGCCACGACCTGCGCCGAAACTTTGTAACCCGAGCGCGCTCCCCTGCGCTCCTCCCCGCCGAGGCGGCCCGGAGGGCGGTGCCGGGGGTGGGCCCGGCGGGCGGGAAGGCTCGCACGCCGGCGCACGCGGAGGGCGATCCGACAGAGCTCGCCGCCCGCGGGGAGCGCAGAACGGAGCTCGGGACTTGGTCCTTTCCAGGAGAGGCCCGCGGCGAGGCCGGGACTTTGGGGTCTTAGCCGCTCGTGCCCGCAGCTGCCGTCGCCCAGGAGCCGCAGCTGTGCCCCGGATCCCGGCGGCCGCAGGGGAAGGAGGAGGAGGAGCAGGAGCCGCAGCTGCACGGTGGCAGCTGGAGGAGGGGCGCACAGCTGTCCCGTGCGCCGGCGAGAGGACCGAGCTCCTTGGGCAGAACCGCGCGGGATGACCCGCTGAGCGCGGCCATGCAGGCTTGACCGGGCGCTGCGGCGCGCAGGGCACCGACCGCGGGGCGCAGGCGGCAGCACTTTACCGCGGACTCTCCAGCGGGAGCGAGGCCGGCCACCATGGAACCTGTGACCAAGTGGAGCCCCAAACAAGTGGTGGACTGGACCAGAGGTGAGCGGGCCTCGGGGAGCCCCCAAAAGGGGGCGCCGGGGACCTGGTTAGGAGGGTGCGCGGCGAGCGCAGCGCGGTGACAATGCAAACTTCTGCCGAGTGGCCTGCGCTCCCCTGTCTCTGCGCCTTGTCCAGGCTGACGGATCCTTTTGGGGGGTGCAGGTTGCGAGGCGAGCCGAGGGGAGCCCCATCGTTCAGTCAGGGGCGGGGCTGGCCTTTCCGTGCAGGGTGAGGACTGGGGATGTCACGCTCGGGGCTCGGGCGGGTGGACGCCCTCCGCTGCTCCGCCCGGGTGCGGTGGGTGCCCCGGGACCTGGCTGCACGTCCCCATCGAAGTGGCACAAGGCGCCTTTGTGTGGGCGACTCGCGCTGGCCCTCGTAAACGCCGCCTGCCCGGAGCAGCCCGCCGGCGCGACGGGGCGGTTGGACAGGTACGCGGGAGACGCGGCGGCCAGCCGGGCCCGTCTGTTTTTGTTGGAGAAGGCGCAGCGCAGCCCGGGCGCCAGCCCTGTGGCACTTGCGCGGGCGAGAAGTGCACCGCCAGACTCCCCGGGAGTCAGTGGCTTTTGCTCGGGGAAGGTTCCAGCACGCTCGGCGGCGCCGCCTTTTCAGGCCACATTTGGGCACTGGGACGGAGAAAGCTCAGTGTTGTGAGCCATTGTCTTGAGTATTTGGGACGGGGAGCAGCTGAGGGTGGGCGGTGATGGGCGAACCCCAGGCGCGGCCGCTGCTCTGCTCGGTGCGCCCGGCGCTCCGGGGGGAGGCATTGAAGCCTGTTCGATCCCCTTGGAGAACAAAGTACACCAAGGGCGGCTGGCGCATTTTCACGGGTGCCCCAGTCCCCTGGGCGCCTCTCGGCTTCAAGTTACTGTTTTTCCCCCCTTCTATCTGCTCTTTCAGGTGAGGAGTGGTGTCCTTTCCCAATAATAATAACTAGAATTGTGTAGCGCTTCACAGTGTGCCAGGAGCTCTGTGTTGTTGTGCTTGGGCACCTCGGTAGGCCCGTGAGGTAGGTAAAGCTGGTAAGATCAGGTCATCTCCACCTGTCTCACCCATGGCCGCAGCACGAGGGAAACGGATCATCTCCACACCTCATTTCTCATGCCTGCTACTTTCACGAAAACCACTGGGCTGCGGGGCGTGGCAGTGCGCATGTCTGACCATTCCCTGCTGCTTCGCGAGAAGGGGTTTGTGAAGTGGACACAATTCCCTGGACGCAGACACATCAAGAAGAGGGGTACTCTGGGACAGGGGTGACTAGGTTTCGCTGGGTGAAAAGAACCGACGGCGTTGCCAGTGCTTGGCAGCAAACCTTAACTTAAAAGCCAGACATGCCCACACTGTAGTTTAGAATGAGGGCGAGTCCTCTTTCAGGAAACTGCCAGATTCCAGCCCTCGCAGCTTGTGCAGATGGACGCCATCTGTTTCACCTGTGTGTCCATCGCAGCACCGACTTGGGAAACTGACAGCTTTGGCAAAGGTTGCCATCTTGAGCTGTTCTGCCACATACAGTGGCCAGTTGCCACAGGTGGCCGTGGGGCTCTATACATGTAGCTGACCAATTTTTAGTATATGTGCTGCCGATGTAGCTGACCAGAGTTAACCATGGGCTGTAAGTGGAAAATACATTTGAAGAGTTGATGTGAAAGAAGAATGTAAAATCTCATTAATAATTTTTGTATTTGTCACTTGTTAAAATGATAGTATTGCGGATATATTGGGTTGAATTCAGTGGATTACTAAATCTGACTTCGCCTGTGTATTCTTAGCTTCTTGAGTGTGCCTGCTAGGGAATTTGGGGGCACACACGCTCACATTGAGGCGTAGATTGTATTTCTGTTGAATAGTACTGCTTTGGAGTAAAGGAAAGGTTACAGCTCATGCCCTGGTTCTCCTGTGTCTCTGCCAGCCTTACTTGATCATGTACAACCAGGAAACTGGTATTGGGCACTCGGGAAGATTATGGAGTGAGATCTTCACACTCTCTAAATTGGTGTCTTTTTTTTTTTTTCCCATCCCTCTTGGGATTGAGAGAGGAGAGGTATAAATTCACATCGTGTTATGTTTGCTTAGTATTTGAAAGGGAGAGCTGATTAAAATGTGCTTTTGGCGTCCACCTGCCTTGACTTTGTGACTTAGCTGAGGTCGCTTTCATCTGGGAGATGTTTTTAGCTGACCTCAAAGAGCAGCTCCTGGTGGCTCAGTACCTTTGATGCTTCTTGGGTTACATCCCTGTGGCTAGTGCTCCGCAGCTTCATACAAAATGCGAGTGCCCTCTGGGACCTTGGGTACAGCCTCCCAGAAAGGCTTGGATGCTTTCTGTGTCAGAATCTAAAAGGTGCAAGTGTACGGCTAACTCATGGATGACAAGAGGCCACATTCTCTGAAATCGGGTGACAGAGCCCGTGCAGATAGGAACTTCTGAATGAAAAGTACTGACTTAGGCAAACTTGTTTGCTTGTAGGACTATTTTTAGCTGTCTTTGCTAATCTGTCTACCCAACCCCATTTTATAAATACATCCCACTGATAAGCAGCTCTTCATGGAGACTTTCCTAGTCTGGGTGCTACGCGGATAGCAGTATAGTGATTTTGAGCAGTGTGGAAGGCTCTTGATTGACAGCTCTCCAAACCTGGCCGTCATTAACAGCTTGCAGCAGTGGCAGTGCAGCAGGATTCATACGTCAGGAAAGAATAAACGAATTCATGTGTCTGTATTATTTGGCTTTGGTTATACTGACTCCAGTTTTACCATAACGCTAGCAGATCCTCAGTAAGCATTAGCAATGTGCAGGCATAGCCCTAAGCATCACACATGTATCTGCACAGCCATGCTTTGCGGTAGGAACTGCTATTTCTCTTTGGCTGCAGAGGAAACTGAGTCAGCCAGGAGGGAGGGGTCAGAGCAGAGTTGGACTGCAGGTGTTTAGATTTTCTGCACTTCTTCGTAGCCGGTTCTTCTCTAGGCCACACCTCGACCACACTCAGAAATCTGCACCATGTTCAGGACTACATCTTCATGATTCCCATGGTACAGGTTCCTAAGATCAGATGTTAGCCGAGGAGACTCATCCAGAACACGTGTGCCTCTGTCTACCTGTTCTGTGTGCCTCAGAAGCTCTGTGTAATCCAATTAGTTCATAGTTCATGGCACCTTGCCAGTCAGATAACTCAGTCAAGGCTTTTGCAAAACACAAGTTCTTTGACAACGTGTAGGGTCAGCTGCATTCCCCAGGGTCTGTGGATTAACCAAATGGGAGTTTGCATTTTCTCTTGGGAAGAAGCCTGGGTGCAGGGCTGTGAGGGAAGCCTCGGTGCAGTCAGGGCCCAGGTTCCCATCCTGCTCAGCTGTTCCCAGCATGCACCATTCGTTTTTAAAGGTGATGCTTCCAGGCAAGGTGCCCAGTGGGTGTTTCTGTGCCAGGCAGGGGAGAAGAACCTGGAGTAAGAGAGCCTGCAGAAGAGAGGAAACCTGTGGAAGAGGCGGCAGCTGTGTCTTTTCTTTTTCTAAAGATTTATTTATTTATTTGAAAGAGATAACAGAGAAGGGGAGAGAAAGAGCGAGAGAATCCTCCATCTGCTGGTTCACTCCCCAAGTGGCCCCAACAGCCCTGGGGCTGGGACAGGCCAAAGCCAGGAGCCGGGAGCTTCTTCTGGATCTCCTACTTGGGTGCAGAGACCCAAATACTTGGTCCATCTTCCATTGCTTTCTCGGGCTATTAGCAGGGAGCAGTATTGGAAGTGGAGTATCCAGGACTTGAACTGGTGCCCATATGGGGTGCCGGCACTGTAGATGGAGGCCTAACCTGCTGTGCCACAGCACGGACCCTGTGTCTTCTCTTTTAGAGAGTTTTCTGAGAACCTCCATCCAGTGACCTGGGTTATGACTCAAAGCCAGAAGTGTCAGTTGGCCAGTTCATGCTGCAAGGGAGGCTGGTCACTATAGTTTTTTTTTTTTTTTTTTTTAAGTTAGGTACCTTGTGTCCTTGAAAAACATTGAGTTTTAATCAGTAAGGAGGAAGGGGAGAATGGGTATTTGTAGATGGCAAGAAGTGGCAGCCACACAGGAACTGACATGTACCAATGTCACAGTCAATTCTTAGAACACGGGCCGCCGTTCCAGTTTGCCGCGTACACAGAGCCCATGGCTCAGCTGGGCTGTAGAAATGGTGTAGCCTTTTTACTAAGATTCCTGGGTCATAACCTTAACTTACATGAAGTCTTTGTCTCTATGCTAGGTTTACGTATTAGAAGTTTTGTTGTGAAATGTGGCTACCTTGAGCTATGTTTCTGCTTTCAAGCCCCTGGAGAGTGTCTTCAGGGAGGAGGGAGGGGCCTGCTTGTCCCGGCAGCCCTGATTTATACTTGGCAGTTCCAGTGGTTTGTTGAGCGAGCGCATTCATACACCCTGACTTTGGTCCCGGAACACAAGTCCCCCTCGCCAGCTTTGGGTGTTGTTAGCAGAGGTTACGTTTCTCATCACCATCTGAGAGTAAAGGGGGCTGATTTTGTTCAGAGTCCAAGCCTCTGGGAATCGGGGCATTTGTCTGTCCTCTGTTACCTGTCCATGGGCACTGCTGCACCCCTGTAATGTCTGCTAGTATGTGGCAGGTTGGCGGTCTTGACCTACCTCATTATTTGGTCTCTGTAGAGATCTGGTAAATTGTAGGCCAGTTATCATGTGTGACTTCAGCTGTCACACCTTCTTCCTGCCTTTGCCAGTTTGGAGGTTGGTTCTCTTTGTAGTCCTGATCGGGGCTTGGGTTGTATATTCTGTTAACTTCCAGGGTCACTGGAAAAGGGAGATCCTTTTCTCTTAGCTGCAGGTGCACAGGTTGGCTGTAGCTCCAAAAACTCTTCTCATTTCACTCTCTCCCTGGTTCTTTTCTCTCTCCTATAACTTGAAGTTTCCTTAATCCTAAGAATAGAGAAGTACTGATTTTGTAGCAGGTGCTGTCCTAAGTGCTTTGTTTGGATTTCTACATTTTGTCCTCTGAAAACCCAGCGAGGCGAGTGGATCGTGAGGAGCCCACGGAAAAGAAACGGAGGCAGAGAGTAAGGATTTGCTCCCAGCATTGGGGTGCTGCAGGCTGACCACAGCATGCCTCTGCTATGCTTTACTGCAGACGGGGAGCTCCGTGGTTGGGAACGTGGGCTCAGGAGTGGAGGGTTCCGCCTCTGTGTTCGTGTGCAAGGTCTCCATAAATGACTCCTCCTTGTTTTTACTGCTTCCTCCTTTCTCTCATCCTGTAGCTGCGGGACACAGACTCTTCCTTTGAGTATCAGCTCTGCCATCAGGTGGTTTCTGACCATCCAGGGGCGCCTGTCAGTGCCACAGAGGTTTCTCTGCCATTTGCCAACCAGTCAGTATCCGTGGCAGAACTTGGAGCTGATGGGGAATGTCCTTGATCGGTTGAGTGAGAAATACCTCTTGCTAATATCATGATCCTCCTTTGGGAAATTAATTCAAACCGCATTTCTTCAACTTTTCTTTGGTAGGGACTGGACGTCCAGTGAGCACGGCACTGGGATGGCACTCGCTGTCCATTGCTGACTCTTGTCTGGTCCCTGCTTCATGCATCAACCTGGGGCTTGGGATATGGAAACTCAGGGCTGCTAAGTCAGAATCTGCATGTTTAGCAAGATCCCCTGGCGATTTGGGCATTCATTACAGTGCCAGAAGCACTGTTGTAGCACAGAGCTATGAACAGGTTTCCAAACTTTGCTGCTAGCTCCTGCTACTGTAGTACTGGGACATCTGATAGGACACGAGTTCAGTCTGTTTCAAGGTTTGCAGTGATGATACTTGGTTTGAGGATGCGTGGCTTGGCCACTGATTAAAACAAAGAAGCAGTTTGAGGGTGTGTGCTGTGTTTATCAGCACCTGCCTAGCAACAGCATCAGGTAATTCTTTGCAAATGAAAGGACACATTTCCCCTGAGTTTTGTTACCCATTTCTGGGGACTTGGAGGGTTCTCATAACAACCTGCACACACACACACACACACAC